TCGGGAGAAAATCGCACGCCCCCTGCCACAAAGAAAACTATTTCGTCCTCAGAATCCATATTTTTATGAATGGCGCGAAACGTAATGTTTACATCACAGTTTGTAAAATTGTAGTAAATTCATGTGTCGTGTGTGACTGCCTCCGTACGATTTTCGGATAAACTCAATCGTGACATGTGCCAGAGCTCACGACGTTCCGACCTTCAGAATCGCACCGTGTACGCCCGCCTTTAGACGCGCACTAGAGGCGGTTTAGCCAATCACAACACACTGGGCTAGCTAACCAATCAGAGCCCATCGCCTATTTCTGAGGGCGGGGCTTAATAAAAACAGGAAACGATCAGCCCGTTTCTCAGAGAAGGGACAGAGCTGTGTGGAATAAAGGTAAATTATGTGAAAAATAATGAGCTTTTTAAAATACAAAGCATTAGCACATGTTAGACTGCACCCCATAAACACAATCAAGCCTAGAAAAAAGCCAGTGAACCACCCCTTTAAAACATTCAAGTCTGAGACTAAGATTAATCAAACTCTCCACAGTGCCCCTAATATTGTAGCGCATTTTAGAGCCGCTTGGAGGAGCTCTGATCCGATAGCCACAATCGTCCACCTTGAACTAGGAACCAATAACGCCGGGGGGCGGGGAATGTGACGTCAACAGGAAACGTTTCCAAAACAACAGCTGTAGCCATAGACATTTAAAATGGAATGCGCATGCGTAGTTTCAGCGCGCGGACTTGAGTCGTGACGTCAGGCAGTGCGCGGGAGTATTAATGCTGCATCAACTTGTATACCAAAAAGCATAGTGAATGGAAAAAGAAAAATGGTTCCATGGTGGAATAGTGAATGTAAAAATGCAATAAAAGAAAGAAATCGTGCATTTAGAGTCCTAAGGAAGCATTTGAGTCAAGACAATTTGATTGATTACCAAAGAAAGAAAGCTAAGGCACGGAAAATAATTAAGTCATCAAAGAAGAATGCATGGAGACAGTTCTGTTCAGCTATTGGTAGAGAAATAGATCTGAATGATGTATGGTCAATGATTAAAAAGATGACTGGCAAAAGGAAATCTGTTAAAATCCCTGTGTTGGTAGATGGAGAATACTTGGCAATAACAAACAAGGAGAAAGCTGACTTATTAGGTAAGAAGTTTGCAAGTATTCATAGTGGAAGTCACTTAGATGAAGTGCATAAGCAACGGAAAGAGAATATTATTAGGAAATTTTATGATGTATTAAGGAAAAAGGGCACTGACGAATCAACACTAGACATGGAATTCACAAAGCATGAGTTGAAAATGGCCTTAGAGAAAAGTGGTTATACGGCTCCAGGGCAAGACCAACTGTGTTATGCTATGTTTAGACAATTACCAGACGAATTTATGGAAATTATACGAATGCTGTTTAATAAGATATGGAGAGAAGGCAAATTGCCTCATAACTGGAAAAGTGCTCTGATATTGCCTTTTAGTAAGCCTGGTAAAACCCCAGACAATGCAGGGAATTACAGGCCTATAGCGTTAACATCTCACTTGTGTAAATGGATGGAAAAGGTAATAGTTCGTAGACTGTCATATCATTTAGAACAGAAAGGATTGATGTGTGCACAACAAAGTGGTTTTCGTAAAGGTAGATCTACAATAGATGCCCTAGTGAAAGTTAGTAATGAAGCTGAAAAAGCAATTAGTATGAAAGAGGTCATGATTATAGTATACTTTGATATAGAGAAAGCATATGACTCAATGTGGAGAGAAGGACTACTGATTAAATTACATAATATGGGTATTGGTGGAAGGATGTATAACTGGATTTTAGACTTCTTATCAAATCGGACATTTCGTGTTAAAGTTGGAGATGACGTTTCAAATGATTTTAATATAGTAAATGGTATTCCGCAAGGTAGTGCTGTTAGCCCAATTCTGTTTAACATCATGATAAATGACATCTTTGAGAATGTTGGTACAGGTATTGGGTATTCATTATATGCAGATGATGGGGCTATATGGAAAAGAGGGAAAAATATTAGACATATGATTAATAATATTCAGAATGCCATAATAAGAATTGAAACTGGACATATGACTGGGGATTTAAGATGTCAGTTGCTAAATCATGTTACATGCTCTTTACCAGGAGAAGAAAGTTAGGAAATATACAGCTTAAACTATATGGTCAAAGTATGGAAAGGGTAACAAAGTTCAAATATTTAGGTTTATGGTTTGATGAGAAATGTCTATGGAAGACACATGTTAAACAGACTGAAACTAAATGTATTAAAGTACTAAATCTTATGAGATCAGTTTCGGGATATGATTGGGGCGCAGATAAACAGTCATTACTTGATATATACAGGGCATTAATAAGATCATGTATTGACTATGGGTGTATGGTATATGGAGCAGCGGCTAAGAGTGTCCTGGAAAAACTAGACAGAATACAGTTCAGAGCTCTTAGGCTTAGTATTGGTGCTATTAAAACAACTCCTACTAATGCGCTACTTGTAGAAACTAAAGAATTACCACTATACTTAAGACGGATAAAGCTGTCACTGACATACTGGGTTAAGTTAAAAGGATCTGGGAAAGAACAACCGGCTACAGAGGTCTTATGTGATTGCTGGGAGTATTTGCAAGAACGAAAAGGTAAAGGATTCGGTTGGAATATTAATACAGTAGTGAAAGAATATGGTTTAAAGAGATTTGAGTACGGCCCAAATATGGTATGGGGTAATGTTCCTCCATGGATATTTCCAGTTCCCAATGTAGACTTGAAACTTTTAGAACTAAAGAAAGAATGGACTGAAAGGAACGCTGATAATATTGGATATTTGGTTCAGGAATATGTTAAGCAGAACTACTATCAGTATATACCAATATTCACTGATGGATCTAAAGATTCAAGGAATGATCATGTAGGAGTAGGAGTGTACATACCAGAGTTTGATGTAACCATATGCAAAAGAATTAATGACAAATTATCTGTATTTACAGCTGAAGTAGTAGCCATAATTTTAGGATTGCAATGGGTAGAAGAAGTAAGACCTCAAAGAGTTATTATCTGTTCGGACTCTGTTGCAGCTCTTAATAGTTTGAATTCAACTGAAACAATAAGAGAGGATTTATATAAAGAGATATCCATGATAATGTTAAATATAGAGAGAATTGGAATTAATCTTCAGTTTTGTTGGGTTCCAGCTCATACTGGCGTGGAGGGCAATGAGATAGCAGATTTGACTGCAAAGAATGCACTGAAATTAAAGGACAAGGAAATAATGAAAGTCCCATTTGGTAAAGGTGAGGCCAAATCATTAATTAAAACAAAAGTGAGAGAATCATGGCAGAAAAAGTGGGACATAGATAACAAAGGGCGATATTATTATAATATTCAGAAATCGATTAACGTCAAGGCTTTTAAAGGGAAATGCAGAAGAGAAGAAGTGATTATATCAAGATTAAGACTTGGACATACTGGTTTAAAATCAACCCTGTTTTTAATGGGAAAATGCATATCAGATAATTGTGATGACTGTAATGTTCCAGAAAATGTGGAGCATATCATTATGAGGTGTAAAAAATATAATGCAGAAAGGAGGATCTTGCAAGATAAGATATATGAGTTGGAACAAGAATGGAGTTTGAAGGGGATTTTGGGGGCAGATGAGAAAATGTGGGAATGTAGCAAGGCTCTCTTTAATTTTCTTAAAGATACAGGGCTAGAGTATATAGTATAAAGCTATATAGGAAGTTTTTTTATTATTATTTATTGATTTATTATTTTGATTATAACTATGCTAAGTACATGAAGCCCTGAAGTTGCACACCCCGGTACAGTAGGTGGCGGTATGCACCTGA